GAGCCTGAAATAACGGCCGGCGGTTTTCCGACCAAATTCCGATTTTTCCGACCAAATGCTGAAATGATCGGAAATTTTGTCCGGCCAAATTTTGAGAAAAAGAAAAATGTTTTCTTAATGATCGGATCGGCGCTCAGCACAGTGAGTACCATCTGTAAGTTTGGATGATCTATATTAGGCTAATATAAAGTAATTAACTGGAAAGTATAGTTCACGGGCTCAATAAACAAGGCGGCTTACAGCGTGGTGTTGCCGTGAAAATGTGAGGTGAGTCTTAATTAATTTGCACGACCATTTTGAATTTTCGCTACAGTTACAATTACCTTACACAATTGCAAGTAGAGTGATTTACTCAGTGCACGTCTGCATGCATGACAAAGTTTGCTCATTGGGGGGGGGGGTGGACTTGGTCAAACTAAACTAAAAAAAATTCCGGTCAATTTTGCAAATTTCGTTTTGATCGAAAGTTTTTCCGGACAAATTTTAAAATTATTTCAGGCTCTGATATTGTAACTTATTTTAAAGATTTTTGCTTGCACATTATTTCGGTTTTATTCATATGCAAATGTCCGGAATTTACGTCACATATGAATAAATGACTGATCAAAGAATGTAAGGTACAGTTAAATATCATGAAATAAAAAGGCTAAATAGGAAAACGGTCTGGACATTGTATATCATTAGTTAAGGTTTCAAGTATCCTTAGTTAAGGTTTTCTTTTTAAGTAGTACTGGACCAATCAGCATTGAACTTTACTGGTACTCTAGGGAGAATTAAAAACTATCCAGTATCAATAAAGGTTTAATTCATTTATATATATTTTTTATTCGGAATGAACAACAAGGTTTATCGATTCCCTACTCAATCGTAACTTTCTCTCCGTATAGTCAATTGAGTGGCAGTCAAATGGCGTGGACACGGGGAAACCTATGGATATCACTGAGGAAGAGGAACTTGAGAGGATAACCGGGATGTTACAGAGAGATAACTTAGTACGTGGTGTAGGCATTGTTGAAGAGGTTTATAAATTACTTCATTGTACGCCTGGCACCGGTGGACCTAGAAAGGACTGTTTTCATCATTCGGTAAGTTTCCTGTAGATATCAACGAGCTTAATATTAAGCAAGCTAGGTTTTTGTCGACATGGATGTCACCCGTAAATTGGTATGGTTCATTTTGGTGTCATTTTCCATCGTAGCACTCGTGTGAGGAAGCTAAAAACTTTCAAAATCTTATGTTTTGTCACATGTGTTGACGATTACCACAAGCTGATACAAATACAGTTTTCAATCCAGTCCTCCCTTGGCAATTTCTTGTTTATTTTTCACTGTTTTCTAGTGTTTTGAATAAAATTCCCGCCTATTTGCAAAATACGAGTCCACAATCATGTTGAAAATGTTTGTCAGCGGTCGTTACTCGGCTTACTTTATGTAATTTTGTGTTTAAACGCCCCACGCAAGCCCCACGCACAGTTAACTACGTGATTAGTTAACTAGCCGACTAACTACGTTTTGTGCAACGCAGTTAAATCATGTAGTTAACTAATTAGAGTTAAGGATTTAACTACAGTGATTAACGCTAACTACAGTTAGCGCTAATTACGTTTTTATACAACCGGCCCCAGATCTTTTGAGGCTGTTTACACGAGGTCATGACTACAATTTTGCCATTCCTAAACCAAACACTAATTTTTGCTAAAACAGCCTAGAATATAATGGAGCAGCAGTAGTATGAAATTATTCAATAGCGAAATAACGAAATCCAACTCACTAAAAATTTAAAAAAAAAGACAAAATAAACTGTAATGTAAATGTAAATGAACTTTAAATTTTATATATTTAAAATACACACGACGCCCGAGAAGAGCATCTTCTGCTGACAGGCTTCCATGCCTAAATAAAGTTACAGACAAAGTACAAGTCGAACTTTCCCGCTTCTGCAGTCTGTTGTTTAGTATCCAGGTGATCTTGATACGCGGAAAAGTACTGGCACTAGCTGTCAAATAGAAATCCATTTTATGATTAAAACAACTGAATATCTCCTGTAATATACTTTATTTCGATTCCATATTTTTGTCAGAGCTATAGTTCTCA